AGCGCGAGCGAGAGAGAGAGAGAGAGAGAGAGAGAGAGAGAGAGAGAGAGAGAGAGACGATTGATTGATAAACTTGGAAACGCTATAGTTCCGCAAGCGATGTATGCGAGAGAGACGTACCTGAAATGGGTCAGGGAGAGGAGTGCTTTTCTAACCTTTACACACAAGAGATAAGGGGGTGGCATTTTACTCCAGTGCTCTCATCTCGAATGCCCTGCCGCCATTGTCAGCTACCATATCCGTATCCGCGGGCCATTCGAATTAGAACCGCTTTTATCGGATCCGGTACGCGGCCAGGCGGCTTGAATAGCATGATGAAACCTAGACGCGACGCTAGCGTTGCGACTGTATCGTGTAGGCGGCGTGCGCGTCGTGCGCTGTATCTGAAATTATTAGTAATTAAAAATCAGTAATTAGGCGGAGAGACTTGGTAACGACGTAAAGATGCTGGCTGGTTCATTTATGCGCATCGCGATAATGTCAAATGTGAGAAAAATTCCTCGAGAGACTTTTTAATTAATTTTTGTTATCGCTGCAATAGCTGAAGAATCTCACTCGCTTGTTCTCGTCGGCTGATCGTATCTCGTTTTCCCCTCGTTTTTTTTCTCCTACGTTGTCTTCCTAATCTTTATATTACTTGCCCTTCTCCTCAAGTTTTCCCCTCTGTTTTCATCTCTCATCTCTCATCTCTTTCCATTACCAGGTCACCCGTGCTACGTACATGATATCAGCAGAATACATCTTCTCTTCCATCTTTCCCTCTGAATTCCCATCTTCTCTTCCTCGCCTCCTCCCCCTCCTCCTCACCATCCTCCTCCCCTCCCCCTCCTCCTTACCCTCCTCCTTCTCTTCCTTCTGCCCTCCCCTTCCTCCTTACTCTCCTCCTTCTCGTCCTCGCTTTCCTTATCCTCCTCTTCCTCTATCACCCCCCCTCCTCCTCTTCTTCGCTTTCCTCATTCTCCTCCTCCTTATCCTCCTCTTTCGTCTCCTCCTCCTTCTAATGCTGCTGCTGCTGCTGCTGCTGCTGCTGCTGATGGTGGTGATGGTGCTGCGGCTGCTACTACTGCTGCCGCTACCGTCATGCAGCCGCCACTGCTGATGGTGATGTTGATGATGGTGATGACGATGATGACGGTGATGATGATTATCATTAATGATATTGGTGAATCAGGCTGCTGCTGCCTGCACCTCAGACAACGATGATGAACCGTAGAGAAGGAAAGTTCAAAGTTAACGCTGGTGGCGACGTCACGCGGACAGATAAGGAAGGACAATATTGTATGTCTGGCCGTGAGTGTGGGGGGGGGGATCACCCAAGCACCAGCAGGGCATGCCAGCACATTAGCTAGTACC